ACAAAGTGTGCAAGTGTAAGAATTGATGTTGGTTTGAAGCCAAAGTGTAGTCACACCAAATATTGATTTGATTTAGATTTCTCTTTGGTTTGCTCACTTTGGATTTTGTAAACTGATAAACATAAACAATTACAATGTATATTTTTGAAAGCATTCTTACTTTACAACATTTTTTCACACCTGCCTAAAACTTTTGCACAGTACTATATAACGCATCTCTCAACTTAATTCATCAATTTTTGTAGCAAAAAAAATGATAATTGGGGGAATAATGCATGCTCCTTCCAAATTCCTTCTAGGAAAGGGGGCAAAAATCACAATGTAATTTTAAAAATGTTATTACATGCTGCAACTTATTATTATAAGTCTACTTTAAAAATATTAAATTGCTTCACTTCCTAAGCACTTTACGCTACACCCATCCATGACAGAACAAAGCATCTTCACGTTTTCATACCTGATCAAGGGCTTAAAGAGAATCAGCAGTGTCTTGATGAACATGGTTGGGTGCACAATGAACAATGCTTTGATGTTCTTTTTGTATCTGAAAAACAAAGGTTTATGATTTATCTAAAACATTTCTCTTCTTTTCTTAACTGAAAGGTACTTGATTTGCTATAAGAAAAACAGGGAATCAACTTAAATCTCTCACCCGGGAAAGCTAGCAAACTATATTAGCCTTTGCATACTCTTTTTATTTCTGTTCACATATATTGTCCTTATCCAGACCATCCTGACCCTTCTAAAATCCAAAACCACAGCCACTCACTTGCGATCAAATTCCCGATAGGCATCCCGCAGCCAACTTAGAGATGGTTTATTTTCACTGGTCAGGCCATGATGCAGATATACTAGGGTGTAGTCACTCTCCACATACTGGTCCAATGTATACTTCAAATAGCTGAAGAAAGAGACGTGGATGTCAGTACTTATATCTGGTAGTCAAAGTAAGAACAATCTAGTCTCTATATATAAAGGCAGATATGGATTCTAAAATGTGGATGGGAATAGCTGAAAAGCAAACTATGAGTGTTTAAATAACTTTTCCTTAACAATTAGTCAAAAATAATTGTCATCTGAAGATCTGAATGTTTGGGAAAATTCAAAGATTAAGCTTGATCAAGTCAGGTAGAGCAACACTCACCTCAACAGCTTCACATGATCAAGTTGATAGCTAGGAGGCATACGGCAGGCACTGAACAAAATTACTTTCCGTCCATACTTATCATCACCTAGGACAGAAATGCTACATATCACAACATATAGCACAAAGCAAGGAGTGCCATAATAAGAAAGCAATGAAGCTACCTTAGTCATATGCGCATTTTCAACTCAGAAGTAAAAACTGCTACATAACATTTGCTTGTACAAAGTCCCTGTACAATTTGGAGATGGCTAACATTTGAGATGAACCAAATGCCCTAACAGTGAAAGGTGGAGGAGTGATTTTTTTTAAAGAAAAGTGATAAAGAAAATGGTAATCCTGGGCCTTGAGAAGTCAATGTGGATTTGCTTTCTTTAACTCAACTTAGGGAACATCCACAGCATTATCATGACAAATATTTGTAATTCCAAAGCAAAGAGAAAAAAACAACATTCCCAACACACGGTCTGAAAAGAAGTAACTGATTAATTTACAGGGCAGTATTCTTGCTGTACTTTTTCCCCAGTGCATCCAATCTCTCAGCATCTGCTGTTCCTGTGTATTTTGAATGGAAAAGGAAAATCCCCACTAGGAAGCAAAGCAAACAAACTAAAAACCATACAATAACAAACTGCCCTCAAGTACTATCAACTGAAAAGCAAACCAGCAGACTGCAGAGTCACAAGAACTTCTGCTACTGACTTATAATATAATACATATTATATAAAATAATCATTAATGTTTTTTTGCAGCCCAGAATCATGCAGATGACTAAGCAAGTGTGTGGCAACACTGTCTTAGACATAACAGACCAATGGGTATCTGATTATAAGTTTTCTCCAGTCTTTTTTTCATTACTAGCAGATTACATCTAATATGAAAGTTATATCATCAACAGAAGCCTTTTAAGCAGCCTATAACTAAAACAAAGAATACTGTTACCAGGAGGAAACTTCAGAAACAGAGGTCCCACTATCTTGCCAGGTGATAAGAAGGTGAGTTGGGTTTTTATCAAAACAACAGAAAGGCCAATGAATATGATTCTGCACAGACAAGGTTTAATCTGCTGTTTAGAAACTTAGTTGCCGTTATGTATCTATTGCAATATATAATAAAACTGTAGAAAGTTAAAGATCTTAGGCTTCTGAGTGAAATTACTTATTTCCCAAACAACTGCGTTTGACAATCTGACTTTTCCTGTGATACAACACAACAATTTTCAGTTTGAACTAGCCCCTACCTAAATCACCTTTTCTCAGACAAGCAAACCTATGCATGTGAAAGAGGAATTCTCCCCTGTGGGAGCAAAACTGGGCCTTTCTGCACAGGAGGCTGAAACTATATGCGTTTTCTTGCTGTTTAATGTTTTAGCTATCATCATAATGGTATATAAATGGTTAAAGAAGATACAATTTTCCTGCCATACAGATTTTATTTTGATTACTTTGATTTTACTCTATGATTACTTCACATTCATAGGGGAGGAGCATTTTGTCTTTTTCTTTAATTAAGTGTATCTGCAACTTCTACTGTATATATTGCTGTGACAAATGAAGCTCACTCATGACTGATACAAACCAAAATACAATGCAAAGTATTACTAAGGCCTATAATCATCTTAACTGTGTTTAGATCACATTTCTGGAAATACTGAAATAATTAATACATGTTTAGCAGCATTACTTTGCAAAGCTTCAAATGACGCAAACTCCTCCACAAGAATGTCTCTCTACATACTAGGTATACAATACATCTGGAACAATGACTAAGCAAGGGACAGTTTCATGTAAAAGTGATTAGGGAAAAAAAGAGGAAAATTGTACCAGATGAGATAAGAGGTAAGAGCTACATATGGACTCATTTGAAATAAACATTGTTTATGTAAAGGACGGATGCAAAATAGCAGCTACAAATGGAACCTGCAACTAGGTTGGAGTACTCACTGTTCATGATTCCATCATTCCATTTTCCTCATTCCCCATTTTTCTATGCCTTCTACCCAGAGTTCAGCATCATTCCATGCCTATTAAGTATTTGTCCTTATTAGCTTGTATTTGGAAGTCCCCCTCCTCCTAAGGTTTTTCTTTTTCTTTTCTTTTTTTTTTTTTGTACTTTTGCAAACATTAGGATTTGCCATTCAAGCACATGATGGTAGAAGGCACTTGTGACAAAATGGCACCTAAGAGAGACATAAAACCAGGACGGCAATCCAGAGCTAATCTGGAACAATTATACACAGCTACAGCCAAGTCACAAGACCAACATCCAACAGTTTATCCCATGGTTGCCCAAAAGCAAAGTACCTAAGAAACATCCATGTAGTTCCCCACAAATTAAATGACTATGAAAGAGTACATACAGTGGTACCTCGGTTCACGAACTTAATTGGTTCCGCAACTCTGGTCGCAACCCAAATTGGTCACGACCCAAATCAAATTTCCCCACAAGGTTCAATGTAAATACGGTTAATCCGTTCTGACCCCTCTGAATTTGGTCACCAACCGATTTTGGTTGCGTCCCAAATCAAATTTCCCCATAAGGTTCAATGTAATTACGGTTAATCCATTCTGAACCATTTTTTTTTTTTTTAAAAACAAAAAAAAAAGAAAACAAAGAACAGAACAAAAAGAGAGAACGCTAACCTTGCTCGATGCGACTTCTGGCGTGGAGGACAGGAAGGCGGGTGGG